CCAAAATTTTATTTGCCAATTCACCCCCTCTTGGCCATATTCGTCGATCGATTAACTCATCAACATTATTGCCCAAGTCAGCACCTGCCATCAAAGAATCATGACCATCATCACCCAACACAGTATTTGCATGTGAGGTGGCACTAGTAGTTGCATATGTGACAGTATTACTACTTGAGGACACATGTTGTGGCGCTCAGCAACAATCTCAAGTGCTGCTGACCGAGAAGAGAGCTGAGCAAGATAACTTGCAGTTGGCTTTGTCTCTGTAAAAGGAAAAACAAATTCATCAAACTTGACATGTCTGCTAATAAATACACGTCCAGTGGGGTCGAGGCATTGAAATCCTCGATGTTGAGGACTGTAACCCAAAAACGTGCATACTTGAGACTGGGGCATCAACTTGTGCGATTGAAACGCTCGAAGATACGGGAAAAACCTACAACCAAACACGCGCAAGACCTTGTAGTATGGTTTTTTTACAAACAACTTCTCAAACAGAGAAATATTGCCTAGCACCTTGGTTGGCAACCTGTTCACTAGATGAGCAGCAATAGCTATTGCATATGATCGAAACGAAATGGAAGAGAGGCTTGAGCTAACAACACTAGTGCCAACTCAAATAAATATCGGTGCTTACGCTCAACAATCATATTCTACTCATAAGCATGAGGGTAAGTGGCCCTATACAAAACACTTTCCTGAGCTAACTCATTTTAGCAGTTTATGTACTCCCCCAGTCACTTTGCACTGCTTTGATGGATAAGGAAAATTGAGTCTTAACCATACTTTGAAATATGCGAAATGCAACAGTTGCCTGTGATTTGTCCTTCAAGAAATACACCCATGTATGTCTAGTACACGCATCCACAAAAGAAATATAGTATCGATACCCAGCAGAGGGCTCAGTTGAAGGCCCCCAAAGATCAGTAAACACAAGTTGAAAAGGCACATCATAGACTGTGGTAGACTCAATAATGGGTAACTTGTGACTTTTACCCAAACAACAAGCAACACAAGTATGATTTGCATTATCTGAAATGGTAACAACAATGGTCTTACAAACAGATTTTGAAGTAGAAAAAGTTGGATGACCTAATCTTCTATGCCACAAATCAAGGGCATTACAAGAGGCATCAGCCAAAAGAACCTCTAGTTTATTACAATTACTAGAACTATTATCCAATGCAAATGTATAAAGACATTCTTGCTGATTTCCTTGAAGCAGAAGCTTGTCCGCCACCTCATCACGAATGTAACACCCATCAGCATGAAACTAAAAAAATATGTGATTATCCCTAGCAAGTTTTGACACTGAAAGAATATGTTTATTGATTTGAGGCACATGTAACAACTCTGTAAGTAACAAAGCTCGCGAGGATGATGACGAGCACAATAAAGATTTACCAACCATATTTATATTAAGAGGAACTCCATTCCCAACCAAAAGATTACCTGGACCATCTAGATCAGTAGTGTGAGCGATATTGGAAGCATCAGGAGTCACATGATGTGTAGCACCCGAATCAACAACCCACTGAGCACGAAGAGACGAGACCATATTAGCCTGAGATACACAACCAGCTTGCATCGAGACAGCACCATGCTTGCTGGCATAGTACACACAACCAACATTGTCAAGACTCACATAGTTAATACTACTCGATTCACCCTTGTATCGTCGTTGAGAATTATTTGCTAGAACACATACAGAGTCATGATCAAATCGATACCAACATCTATCAACCGAGTGTCCATTCTTACCACACAATTGACACTGCAGACAGGCTCGACCTGTACCACCATAACGTCCACCATGCATCAAGGCAGGATGTTATTGTTTGTAATCACGAGAACTATCAGATGTTGTATAGCTGGTGTGTACATTTCCCTAAACAATGTTAGTACTCATCAAAAAATTCTCAGTATGAGAATTAAAACAAGCCAACTATGTCTCCGTATCAATGAGCATGGAGTAAATCCGATCAAGAGAAAGCGTATCTGGACTAGTAGTTATCACAAACATAAACGATTGATATTCTCTTGGCAAGCCTTTCACGATATTCACAACATGCTCGACCTGCGACACAAGACTGCCACACGACGCAAGAGCATCACACACCTCCTTTATTCGAGTGAGATACACACGCATCGAATCATCACCTTTTCTCAACGACTGAAGGTTATAGTGCAAATTCATCACTGTTGTCGTAGACATGTTGGCAAAGAACTGCATAACAGTGCGGCAAACAGCCATTGCGGACTCAGCACCAACAAACTGAGGCAGAAGAGGAGCACTAATCATTGAAAGAAGCCCTAAGGCAAGAGCACTGTCTTGTGCCATGAAATCTTCAAACGCTTCATTAACAACAGATGCTCCATTCTCATCAACAATAAACTTAGGTGGAACTAACATCGTGCCATTGAGAAGCCTATCGAGATAGTGACTACGAACCGTGAGAAGGATCTGCTGCTTCCAGAGGAGAAAGTTCGTCTCGTCCAAGATAACATTTACTTTCTTATTTGTAAACATGACGAACAACGAGAACGACGCAGAGCACAACACGTTGGAAAGCACAACAAAGAAAAGGCCCAGAATGGTTGGCAAAATATACCATATTAGAAACTCAAGGATGAACCTACATCATTTTATTTCCACTGAAATATACAACAAAAGTACAGTATCTTTATAGCTTACAAAGGTTGAAAACCGTCACCTTAATAACCTAACTACTGGACTAACAACCTAACAAACTTAGGTTTAGCTTACATACAACTGAGAGCACACTATTTATGTGCACCTTAGCTCACCATGCACGTTATCTTTTAACACTCAACATCACTTCCTCCATATTAATTTAAAAATATAAGCTATGTTGCTCTGACTATTCATTTTTCTTATCTGGCACTCGTGTTCTACACATATCTAGCTATGGGTATATGGATATAACCCCTCTCGCATTGAAAAACTTTGGAAGAGTTGAATATACGTATTGTATTCTAAGTTCGAGTAATATAATTGTAGAATATCAGCAATGCTTGTTCATTATCTGTAATGATATTTATTTTGAAGAGACTAAAAAAAAACTTTATTTTCATGTCATGAAGCTATGTGATCATGTTCCTTCACTTTTGATCTTTCATTTTTTGCTTCAAAAGAAAAAGATGGTAGCATTTCCGTTGCGTGTTTGAATAATAATTGCCATTAATTTTGATCGGACCATTAATACAGGTTCTCGTTTACAATGATCTACTCAAAATGCTGCAACACCCGCATCATGCAAAGTTTAACCGAACTATTGCCACTTTCGGATAGCAGATTCTTTCCTTTCGTATAGAAATAAATGTTATCTAAAACGTTTGCCCCACATCCTGCAGGTTACTCCGAAGTTCTGCAAGCAGTATGCACGAGTTGGCGACGTCATCAATAAAGCTCTCTTGGAATACAAGGAAGAAGTAACAAATGGTCATTCCCACACCCCATACAAAATGAATCCCAAAGACGCTGAGACGTTCATAAAGGAGTTGCAAAAGTTGGGTTCAGACGATGCAACATATGTGGCAACCGAAGTAGCTGCTGAGCCTGAGAAGACGAACACGGAGCAATGACCATGTGCCTACGGTCTCGAAGCAACTAAAATAAGACCAGGATTTTTCAGCTGACTTTAATCAAATTCATCAAGGAGAAAATAATGCCATTACAGTTTTTGTTTCAGAGTCTCCACACCACATGTATGTCTTCTCTCCTTACTTTTTGTTTCCTTTGATCGGGCAATTTGTGCCCATATGGTAAGGGATTTTACAACAACAACAACAAAACCCTATTCCCGTATATAATGGGGTAAGGTGGAGGTAGGGTAGTAGGCTGCCCCCAACGCTATGTTGAGAGCAGCTTCCGTGGAAGACCTCCGGCAGTCAGAAAATTAAAAATTAAAGATAAAATACAATGCATGTAGAAATAAATAAATACATAGTTGAACAGTCTTCATATGCAGTCTACATATGCGCGTCTGTAATGGGAAGTAATCCCTACAAATAAATCCCTGCGTAAAAATCTCTGCATATAGACAGAAACGTAAGTCCGAGCTAAGTAAGGGATTTTAGATTGGTATAAATTTTGATAAAATAACACAATACATTTTATATGTATTATATAAATGTTTTGATGATCCAACTTTAAAATTTTTAATTTTGTTATTTAATTTTAAAAATGATCATGCGATAATTAATTGTATAATATTATTTAATTTTTTGAGTAAACTTGTGCAAGAAAAATAACTTCGGGATTTTTTCTCTCAACGTCAACTTTTTGGACTCTCTTTGATTTATTGAAGTCAAAATATTTTCTTCCAAATCCAAATAATAATAGTGAAAGTTGTAGAACAAACTTCTACAAACTAATATATTAAAATTATGATTCAAGTTTTATCGATTTCAAGAAAAAACAAACTAAGATGATAAAAATGAGAAAAGATAAAATTTTAGAATTAGTTAAGTTACAAGTAATGGCCAACAACGGTCTAACAACTTTGGGTGAGATATTAGACTAATTTCATAAATAAAACTTTCGAAAACTCTGTTTTGTTACTGTTATTATACTATTAATAATCGGATGACCAAAAAACGAAATTAGATGATAAGTTTGAAAACTTTTCAAGTTGAATGATAACACATTACTTTGAGTGACTAAATGTGTAGTTTACCCAAAAATAACACAATACACTCAATGCATTAAATGAAACCATTTATAGATTTTCAAATGCTTTCACTTAAAAATGCAAATAAATTCCTAAAAAAATCAGCTGCATGGGCAAAACAAAAAGAAAAAAAAAGAAAAAAAAGTCCGATAACAGTTTGATTGAACCATTTGCTCAGTTGGGCAAAATACATTTCACCAAGTCAAAAGCCATGTGAAAAACTCACTTTAAACTAAACATGTTCCTAATTCCTATTTCCATTGAATTCCATGATTTATGGCATCTAGATGAAAATGAAAAAAGAAATGGACATCCCACAAACCTCTGATACCTCAGGCGTCGGTCGGGTGATCTCGTAGTTCCTACGGCTCGGACTCTTATCACTGAGTGGGTGTACCTTGGAATGAGGCACTCCCCAATTAAGCACCATGCTTCCGAATAATCTGGATCGATTGCAGAAGAATATCTTGTTGTGCAGAGTACAATTCATCTTTGCTCTATAATTGCATGTCAAACATCAATGGGGATATCAGTGATGCCATTAAAAACACAAGTGAGACCTGAACTGATGAATTTTAGAAAAGATGCTGCCGAGCACCAGACATTCCCGGCAATAATCAAAGAGCAAAACAACTCGAGGAACATTTTTACATCTGTTTTATGTAGTGGGATTAGGGACGGAAAGGGAGATGGCCAAAGGCAAAGATTACCTTATCCATATCCTCCTCGCTCTTTGCATATATGTTTAAACCACTTGCCTCCAAGGACATCGATTACATCCATAGCTACTTCACCCCTATCTTTTGCTATTTAGTTTTAATTTAATATTGTAAATTTGGAATAGTATATATGATAAACTAAAATATAAAAGGGATACATGAATTATTTTAGGGGTAAAAAAGAAATTTTGAAAGGCAAGTGGTGTAACACCCCTAACCTGTATCCGACCCGGATACGAATTCGAAGTGTCATATTGTTTTTTAAAGCGTTTACTTTTTCAAGATAGTTGAAAATCATCTTTCATTAAAATAAAATGTAAACACTTTACATAATTACAACCAAAAAGGTTTACAAAACCGATCAAAGCATATTTAATTTAAGCATTTATTTACATACCAACAAAATAACATATAACAAAAGTACCTACTACTTAAATTAATTCTGATCTGATCTTCAGTCGATAAATATTGTCTTGCCCGCTTGTCCTAACTTGGATCTCCTTGTTTTTCTGAACCTACGTCTGAAACATTCACACGCTAAGTCACGTAAAGCATTAATACAATAATAAAATCATGAAACATGCAATACCATAATATTGGAGTGTAATAAAAATCATCATATATCTACTTAACAAGAATATACATGAATATGCATTTAATAAATAATAACCTATCACATGATTCAATGTTATTTCATTTATATCTTTTCTTAGCCCTTGGTACATTACTGAAAACTTAAGGTATGTAAGTCCATTGAGGTTGTACACCAATGTTGTCACCACAGCTCGTATAAAATGCACCGAAGTGCCGCTTAGAAATTTGAACCGAAGTGCCACATAGAATGTCCCGAAGGACCACATATATGTCTCGAAGGACCGAGTAGAAATGTCCCAAAATACCACGTAGAATTATCCCGAAGGACCGCGTAGAACCCTCGACTCTTGGCATGTCAATTATACCCTCGGCTCTCATATCATATACTATGGGCTTTACCATTTACATCATATCTTATAACTTATTTCACATAGTCAAGTAATCACATAGGTAATGTCTCATAGCTTATACCATTAACTCATTTATCCATATAGTTTATATAACACCTAGACTAACATACAATACATAACTCATGTATAACATTGAAAGTAACATATATAAATATGCATGTAATCAAATACGCATAGAAACCATATTAACCATATTTTAATATTCATGCAATCATGAAAGCAAAACATGATAAACAGACTCATCGCGAGTCTAGTTTCCATATAATTATATGTTATAGTAATATGCATTCACCTTAGCCTCACTTAGTTCAATTAACTCCTATACCTCTTTCTCTCTTGATCGATCTTAACTCGTTGATTATTCCGGAACTTGCTTATGTTTGATATCTACACAAATATACATTCGATATGAATATAAGAATTCTAAGCATTATGAATCGATCGTTAATAACATAAGCTAAAATAAGTACTTAATTCAAATTTTCACTTTAAATAGTATCGATACCCAAGGTACAGTACCAATACTTTCTTACTGTGGTATCGTTACTATACTTCAGTATCGATACCCTTTTTCGATTATGGAATTCCATCTCTAAAAATGGTATCGATACTTGCATAATGGTATCGGTGCCCTTGGTATCGATGCTACCCCTTTAGTATCGATACTCCATGAATAATTACCAACTTTTAGCTTATAGTATCGATATTGTTCATCCAGTATCAATACCATAACCCAATATTTCTTATTTTCACTTTGAAGTATCGGTAATGTACCTTGGGTACTGATATTATTCAAAGTGAAAATTTGAATTAAGTAATTCTTTTATCTTAGGTTATTAATAATCGATTCATAATGCTTAGAATTCTGATATTCGTATCGAATGTATATTTGTATAGATATCAAACATAAGTAAGTTTCGGAACAGTCAACGAGTTAAGATCGATCTAGAGAGAGATAAAGAGTTATAGGAGTTGATTGGACTAAGTGAGGATAAGGTGAGCACATATTACTATGACATATAATTATATGGAAACTAGACTCGCGATGAGTTTGTTTATCATGTTTTGCTTTCATGATTGCATGAATACTAAAATGTGATTAATATGGTTTCTATGTGTATTTGAGTACATACATATTTATATATGTTACTTGCAATGTTATACATGAGTTATGTATTATATGTTAGTCTAGGTGTTATATGAACTATGTGGATAAATGAGTATAAGATATAAGTTATGTGATAGGATCTACGCATTTATATGAATTAATGGTCTAAGATATGAGACATGACCTATGTGATTACTTGACTATGTGAAATAAGTTATAAGATATGATGTAAATGGTAAAGCCCATAATATATGATATGAGAGCTGATGGTATAATTGACATGCCAAGAGTTGAGGGTTTTACGCGGTCCTTCGGGACAATTCTACGTGGTCATTCGGGACATTTCTATGCGGTCCTTCGGGAATTTCTATGCGTTACTTCGGGACATATATGTGGTCCTCTGGGACATTCTATGTGGCACATCAGTGCAAATTTCTACGCGGCACTTCGATGCATTTTATACGAGCTGTAGTGAAAGTATTGGTGCACAACCTAAATGCACTCACATACCTTAAGTTCTCAGTAATGTACCATGAGCTAAGAAAAGATATAACATGAAATAACATTGAATCATGTGTAGGTTATTATTTGTTAAATGCATATTCATGTATATTCTTGTTAAGTATATATATGATGATTTTTATTACACTTTGATATTATATAGTATTGCATGTTTCATGATTTCATTATTGCATTATTGTATTATATGTCTCACTAAATCTGTGACTTAGCATGTGAGTGTTTCACACGTAGGATCAAAGAAACAAGGAGATCAAAGTTAGGACAGACGGGCAAAACAATATTTATCGACTAAAGATGAGATCAGAATTAATTTAAGCAGTATATATTTTTGTTATATGTTATTTTATTGGTATGTAGATAAAGACTTAAATTAAATATGCTCTGATCGGTTTTGTAAACCTTTTTTTTCTAATTATGTAAAGTATTTGTATTTTATTTTAATGAAAGATGATTTTCAACTATCTTGAAAAAGTAAACGCTTTAAAAAGGCAATGCAACACTTCGAATTCGTATATGGGTCAGATATGGGTTAGGGTGTTATATTTAATGGTATCAGAGCTAAGGATTAGTTGATTATAGGCATAAATCGAAGTCCAAAGTATATTAAAAAGTATACATGCCAACAAAATAGTGAGAATTTTTTATCTGATAAGAAATGAGAATGTTGTCTTGCTAATAGAATTTATTGATTATATCGTATTAGATATTTGAACACGAGAGCTCCCGAAGTGAAGTGGAAGATGATAGACCTGAGGGAAGTAGTAATTCACCTACCCTGGCCAGGTAAGGTGAAGAACATGCACCCAAGGAGTGCCTGTACAAGATAAAGGAGTTTTCTTCAAGATGTTGGACATTATCCTGATGTGTTTCCAACCTCTTGTTCCTTCAACCATCAAAATGAATGTAGCTAAAGAATTGAAAGGATTAGGAGCTCCTGAATTCAAAGGTGAAGCGGAGGAAAGTCCTGTTGATGCAGACCTTTTGTTGAATGATGTGAAGATCATGTTGGAAGGTCTCCACTGCTCTGAAGTGGAGAATCTAGATGGAGTAATTTCAATGTTACGTGGACAATCTAGAGTATGGTGGTCGAATTTCACCATAAGAATGACAAGTGACCAAATCACATGGTCCTTGTTCTTATAAGAGTTTAAACGCAAGTATATTGGAGATTAGTTTGTAAGACAAATGGAGTAAGAGTTTACGAGCCCGAAGCAGTGGAATCACACCGTGTATGAATACAAGTATGAGTTCAATAAGTTAAGTCGTTTTGCTATTGAACTTGTTCCGCCCGAGAATGATGCATGTGAATGGTTTGTTGAGGGCTTGCATCTGATATTGAAAGAAATGTTGATAGTTTTGGATCTGTATTCATTCCAGGAAGTGGTTAACTGTGCTAAAGCTATAGAGAGAGCTTAGAATGAGGTTTGGGGAGCAGAAAGTTCAGATGTCTAAGAGATCTTGTGTTTCGTCGAGTTCTGCACCATAAAAAAGTGGCAGATATTCTGGTTTTCGATCTCAGGCAAGGTCTGAGTCAGCTGCATCCTCTGCTAGAGGATCAAATCCGATGAGAGCCACACATACTTAATCTGTAGGGTTTGGAACTGGGAGATCTAATCAGGGTCAAGCCAAACAGTGTCAACGTTGTGGAAGGAACCATATCGGAATATGTCGGGTAGTCTTCGGAGCTTGTTTTCGATATGGGGACACCAGACATTTTATCTGGGATTGTCCGTTGATGGCTGGCGAGCCTACACAATCGAAGCGATCCGCTTCGGTATCTCAGAGAGGAAGATAAAGAGGTAAAGGAAGAAATCAGCCTGAGTCCTCTACTCAACATGAAGTACGTTCAACTGCCCCAGTATATAACATAAACACGAACGAAGAACGTGATGATTCAGAGATTATTGCGGGTACTTTCTAATTGTATGATAAATTTGTTTTGGTATTAATTGATCTGAATTCAACTTATTCATACATTAGTACTAAGTTGGTGAGAGAGTTGAGAATTCAACTAGAAGCAACAAGTAGTGATGTGATAGTGACAAACCCATTAGGGCATAGTGTTCGGGTAAATCGAGTGTGTTGAGGGTATCCCATAAGGATTCAGAGAATTGAATTTTCTGTTAATCTGATGGAATTACCCTTTGACGAATTTGAGGTGATATTGGGAATGGATTGGCTATATCATTATCATGCTAATGTTGATTATAGAATGAAGAGGGTAACATTGATAAGTCCAGAAGGATTAGAAGTTATAATATTTAGTGACAGATTTAATCCGTTAGCAAATGTAATATCAGTAATGACGGCCAAGAAATTATTGTTACAAGAATATCAAGGTTTCATTGCTAATGTGATTGATACTCAAGCTGAGAAGAAAGGATTATAAGAGATTTCAACAGTCAGGGAGTTTCCAGATGTTTTTCCTGTTGAGCTGCCAAGATTACCTCTAGACAGGGAGGTTGAATTTAAAATTGAGGTAATGCATGGAACTGAACCGATTGCAATGGCACCTTATCGAATGGCACCAAAAGAATTCAATGAGCTAAAGATTCAGTTGCATGAATTGTTAGATAAGGGGTTTATCAGATCAAGTGTATCACCTTGGGGAGTTTCAGTGTTGTTTATAAAGAAGAAGAATGGTTCAATGCGTCTCTGTATTGATTATAGACAGCTCAACAAGGTGACTATAAAGAACAAATATCCCCTACCAATAATTGATGATTTATTTGATCAGTTAAAGAGGGCTTCAATTTTCTCTAAGATTGATTTACGTTCTGGATATCATCAATTGAAGATATTTTGGTATATTCAAAGTCTAATGAGGAACATGATGTGCATTTTAGCATAGTTTTGCAAACTTTACGAGATAAGAAGTTATATGCCAAACTATCTAAATGTGAGTTTTGGTTAAATGAGGTGACATTTATTGGGCATGTAATTTATGCCGAGGGGATTCGAGTTGATCCTCAAAAGATCAAAGTTATTTGACTGGGAAATTCCAAAGAATGTGTCTGAAGTTCAAAGTTTCTTGGGTCTTGCAGGTTATTATCGAAGGTTCGTTAAGAACTTTTCGATGATAGTTTTGCCTTTGACAAGGTTGATGAGGAAAAATGTATCTTTTACTTGGACTCCTAAATGCCAAGAGAGTTTTGAAGCATTAAAAATAATTTTAACAGAAGCTCCAGTTTTTGTTCAACCTGAATCGGGCAAGAACTTTTTGGTTTATAGTGACGCATCCTATAATGGCCTGGGATGTGTACTGATGCAAGAAAGGGAAAGTAATGACATGTTCATACAGACAATTAAAATCGCATGAGAAGAATTATTCGACACATGATTTGGAGTTACATGCAGTAGTGTTCGCTCTCAAGATATGGCGTCACTACCTATATGGTGAACGTTGTTACCTTAATACATATATAAAAGCTTGAAGTATCTGATGACTCAGAAAGAGTTAAATATGTGACAAAGAATGTGGATCGAGCTTCTTAAAGATTATGATGTAGTTATTGATTTCCATCATGGAAAAGCCAATGTGGTAGCAGATGCGTTAAGCAGGAAGACATTCACAGCTTTGAGAGCTTTAGATGCAAGGTTTTCATTAGACAGAGATTGTATATTATGTGCAGAATTGATGCTGAGGCTAACGTTGTTGGATCGAATCAAAGAATTACAGGGTAAAGATGAAAGATGTTTTAGAATAATAGAGCAAGTAAAGAATAAAGAAAATAAAGATTTTGAAGTTAAGCCTTATGGGAATTTGTATTATCGAGGGAGGCTAGTGATTCTGAATGACGAGGAATTGAAGAATGATCTGTTGACAGAAGCTAATTGTAGTCCGTTGACAATGCACCCTGGTGGAAACAAAATGTACATGGATCTCAAGAGTCGTTATTGGTGTCCAGGAATGAAAAGAAACATTACAAAATTTGTGTCTAAATGTTTAACATGTCGACAAGTCAAAGTTGAGCATCAAGTCCCTTCAGGATTGTTGCAACCAATCTCCATTCCTCAATAGAAATGGGAGAATGTCACAATGGATTTTGTGACTGGGCTACCTTTGACTCCGAATAAAAGAGATTCGATTTGGGTGATAGTTGATCGATTGACTAAGTCAGCGCATTTCATCTCGGTACTAAACCCAAAAATTCTTCTTTTAACCTAAAAATTTACCAATACTTTACTAGTTTTCTCATTTTACTCTTCTTTAAAACCTTCAAACTCAACTATATATTCTCAAACCAACTTAATTCACTTTAGTACTCCTAAATATCCAAAATCTCAATAGCCTACTTGAAATAAAAAATCATACCAAATTTTCAACTTGGTTATAAAACCTTTCTAACCTTATAATTCTCTTATTCTAACTGAGGACAAGTTAAATTTAACTTCAAACTTCAGTTATTAACTCTTTCTCAACAATTCACTTAAAAACCTCTTATATTTAATCTCTCATAACTTATCAATCTTTGAGTTTTAAGCAACCTTAAGTTTTCCTTAAGTTCTCCTAATACTTCAAGAATCAAAACCTCTTAAAAATAAAAAAGAATAACCCATTAAAAGAATCCTTACCTTAGCATATGGAGTCACGGTAGGTTGAGGAAGAAAGGATGAAGAAGATATCAAGAATTCTCTGATTTTCCTCCCCTCTTACACGTGGATATATATAAAACACCCATAATGGGCTTTTAAATTATTTTCCTGTCTAATGACCAATATGCCCTTGCAACTTCTTCTCTTTGCTATTCAATCTTACACAAACAATTTCTAGATAAACCCCTAAACTTTAAAATTTTCTAATTTGATCACGAAATTTTAAAATCTTACAAATTGGTTACTAACCCGGTGTTTGGATGTTACTAAAGGGGCATAACAAATCAGGTTTTTTTCTGTCTCTAAGTGGGATTAAGTCTTAATATGAAACTGATAAAAAGATTAGGGAAACCAGTAACACAATGCAAGATCAAACTCAAAGGAAACACACATCTGAAAGAAGGAACCGAGGATGAGAGATTACCATGTGCCTGAGATTGCATCCAACAGTCAGTTCTGCATAATAACTATCTACATTTGACAGGAAACAGTAAGGGGCGTCCTTTCCTAAGAAAACTTTCGAGTTTGATCGCAGCATGCTCTTAATGTCATCTGATATATGGGGAACCTTGTCCAGACTTTCAATTTGCAAGGTAATTTTGGTCACCACTGCACGCCATTGGGCACGTGATTTGCTCACAATAACCTAAACATTTACAAGGTAAACAATCAAGACAGATGGGTTTGGATATGATTAATATAATGTGTCCATAAGAAAATAAGCACTCTCAGTAGTCAGTACAATCAATGAGATGTGAAAAGATGATTCTTCTATTTCTAATAAAAGAAAAACTAACATGACTAGAAAAGAGTGAGTTCGGAACCAGAACTGGAAATTTCTCAGAGTTGAGTAATGTTGTTTTTCTAAGTCCCATTTCCACCACCTGACCTTCTATAGATCCTGCCTCCATCAAGAAAAATTATAATTAATTCATACAAAAAATGAAGGAATAATAGACCATAATATACTACTAGAAGTTGCTATACATACAATTTTATACCAAAGCACGGAGATAACGATAGAACAGAATTAACATGTAAACTACAAAAAGGCCCAACTCCAATGCCAATTGTGGGAATTTGAAGAGCTGACGTGGTTGCGGCAGCCACGGGAACCAGAACACATTCCATAACAACCGAAAAACATCGGCTTCCTGCAAAGCCATTGCAGTCTCTACAACCTGCATAAACCAAACTCAAGATAAACATACACAAATAATCAAAACGTTATCCAAATGAAAAGAGGCAATGAAAGATACCTTGACTGCACTAGCAACATTTTTGCCTTGTGGTCGGAATCCGCCGAGTACGTTAATTGTCTATGGAGTAAGTTCGACATGTCTGATAACCGCGATCCCAGCCTCGACGATGACTTTTACAGCGGAGATCCTCGAAGGGAACCTTCCTTCCAATTTGATAGCATCCATCTTTAAGACCCTAACAGCCGTATCAACTGCTCGTTCATATTCCAAACGGCAATTACATCACGATCAATATTCATCCAAGCAATGTTTCGTCATCGATATTTGTCCTTAAAATGTAAGAGAAATCATTCAAGCAATTATTCTTCATCAATACCAAATAATATAATGCAGTGCACAGAATTTGTTTTGGTTCATAGAGGTACATACCTGACTGATGTTGGTCTCATAGGTCCCAAATGGCAAGTCACCGACGAGTAATGGCCGCGTGGCGCCGCGAGCGACTACACTGCAATGGATGAGCATTTCGTCGAGTGAGATAGGGAGAGTGGTGTCATGGCCGTGAACAACCATGGAAGTAGAGTCTCCGACCAGGAAGATATCGATCCCGGCGGTATCGAGGTGGACCGCCGATAGGTAGTCATAGGCTGTAACAACGGCGATGGGCTCACATTTCTTTTATTTTTGCTTCAGCTGGTTAAGAGTCATTCTCTAGTTGGGCGTTTAAGGCTTTGGACCACCGTAGACGGCGTTTTCAGGTACGTTGCTCAGGCTGCGAATAAGGCAGCTCTAGAGACTAAAAAAGCCTTAGACAACTCGTGTAAAAGCAACAATTTGTTGGAAGTATTTTGATAACGGAAGAGAAAGAAACAAATCAACTTTCTATAGTAGGGATCAATTTATGATTTTTTAATAGTCAAAGACTCATCAAAGTCATCTCTATAGTTAGGAGATCATTTTTGTATTTTACCATAAAATAAATGTATATCAGTGTATGTAATCCTTTACACCGGTATAAGTATGTGTTAATTGTAACACTTTACACCAGTGTAAGTATGTGACCTTAACATCTTGTTGTTCAACCATGAAAAGCCGACTGATTACCCTTTTTACTTTAACCATCGATTTTTCAATTTTATCAATCGGATCACCTAACTATTTAAATCTTGTCAATCAAACCACCTGTCGTTAAATATTAACGGAGGAGGTGATGTGGCAGTTAATAAAATTTATATAATTACACATTTAGTCCTCATTACTTATGCATTTTATTAATTTGATCCTAATTTTTAATTAATTTAATAAATTTAATCCTTAATTAGATGGTGAAATGTGTCACTATGTGATTGAATATTTTTTCTTAATATTTTTATTTAATTTAATAAAATTTTCATCTAATCAAATGGTGTCATGTGTCACCAATTGAATTAATAGAAAATAAATTGAATCAATAACCGATGCTAGTGGGGTTTGAATCCAATACATGAGGAGAAGAAGCAAAAACGCCCCAACCACTGGGTTGCACCATTCAAATGACAAACCTATAACGACATAATATATATAGTTAATGGCAATAAGAAAAGGGAAAATGACCTAATAAGAACTCCAACATGAAATAATTGAATAATACGATAATATGATATATATATATATACACACACTTACAAATATTATAATTGATTAATATGTGAATGTATTTTATTTATATTTTAAATTATTTTAATGAAAAAATAAAAATAATTGAAATATATTATAATTAAAATATAACGAAGAGCTTCGTTAACTTAGAATTTTTCTAATGGTTGAAGGCTTATCGTAGTAAGCATTTTAACTTACACATTGACTTGTTTATATCCCAGTTAGAGTAAGAATTTTATATTTTATTATTTATTCATTATATATTTAAAGAAAATTTTAGGAGAAACTTGATTTTATTGAATTAGTCTATTTTAATATAGAATTGTTAAATAAGATTAGAATTCGATCGCTGTTATAATATTTTAAAATATAAGATATGATACATTTTAGTTCAATAAAATTAGAATAATGAAGATAATTTATTAATTTAAAATTTGTAAAATTATATATTTCAATTATAACATATTAAATTCACTTTTATTTTATTTTTGCATTAAATGTGATTTAAAATTTAAATAAAACATATTCATTTATTAATCAATTATAATATATATATATAATTTCATATTATTCAGTTATTTCATGTCTGAGTTTTTATAAGGTCATTTATTACCATTAACTTTATTATAAATTTATGTTTTGTATATTAGACAAATTTAGTGGTCTAGCTTAGTAGTTAAGACGCTTAGTTTTTCAACTTGTGTCCCAGGTTCAAATCCCACCAGCAATAGTTATTGATTTAATTTATTTTCTATTCATTAAATTGGTGACACATGGCACCACTTGATTGGATGGAAAATTTATTAAATTAAAAAATTAAAAAAATCCAATTACACAGTGACATATGTCACCATCGAATTGAAGATTAAATTTATTTAATGAAATAAAAGTTAGGACCAAATTAACAGAATATGAAAGTAATGAAGACTAAATGTATAATTATACAAATTTTATTAACTGCCACATCATCTCTTCCATTAATATTTAACGGCAGGTGGCTTGATTGACAAGATTTAAATAGTTAGGTCTCCCGATTGATAAAATTGGAAAATCAATGGTTAAAGTAAAAAGGGTAAATAGTTAGATAGTCAATGGTATAGTTTACCCTAAAAATAATGTTTTATAAATATTATATTTTAATTAAATTACATTTAGATTTTAACTAATTTATAATTATACGTTTAGTAATTTATGATTTAACGTTTTTATAATTTAATTTAATTTAATGGTGCTCATTGTTTACCGTACTCATCAACGCTCGTCGAGCGTGCCAACATCATCTTATCGATAAATTATCGCCTATGATTTTCCACCAAAATTAAAAGAGATGTATTGTCATCAACTGACACAATCACCTATGTTCTATAGGGAGTTTCTTTGTTGAGTCCCTCGACTATTAAAAGTCATAAAATGGTAGCCCGACTATAGGGAGTTGCTTTGTTAAGTCCCTCAAATATTAAAAGTTACAAAATGATCACTCAACTATTCATTATGTTCTAAACTCATCTTTTTTTGTTGAAACGTTAACGGTCATCTGAGTTGGAAATTAACATGTCGACTGAGATATGATTGTCGTTTGAGATTTTGAGATCAAGTTTTATCATATCTCAGTCAGCAGTTTAACATCCAACTCGAACTGTCGTTAATTTTTTAACAGAAAATGACGAGTTTGGAACATAATGAATAGTCGGTGACCATTTTGTAACTTTTAATAGTCGAATGACTCAACAAAACAACTTATTATAATCGAGGGACCATTTTATAACTTTTAATAGCCAATGACTCATCAAAGTAGTATCCTATAGTTAGGGGGTCATTTGTGTATTTTACCCTAAAATAAATTTATATCAATGTATATAACACTTTACACCACTGTAAGTATTAGGGGTGTGCATTATCAGATATCGGATATTATCCGATCCGAGTTTTTGGATATCCGAAAATTTCAGATACCTAAAGTAATGATCCATATCCGATCCGAAAAAATCGGATATCCGAGATCGTATATCCAAATATCCGGATCCGAATCCATTTTTTTACAAAAAAATCAAAAAAAATTAATAGAAATTAAAATATTCATATTTACTTGTTTTCCAACAATTTGTTTATGTAATTACATGCCCCACTACAATTAAAATTTTAAATAACATAGTACAATAATATAGTCCCCTAAATGTTAAATAGCATAAAATAATGTACATTAACAACACAATAAACCAACACAAGATGTGCAAAATTTCAAAATTTCAAAATATCACACAAGAGTATCAAGTCTTAACAACATAATAAAAGAGATTATAGGATCACTAAGTACTTCAAAATTTCAGAGTACAGGAGGATTCAAACTTGAGGAGACACGAAATTCTTAGTTCTTTCCCGACTGAAATAATCCTTGCTTTGGAAGAGGTTTTTGGTAGACATCTATCCGTTGTTTGTCTAATTTTCAAGATCTGTTGGAAGTAAAAATTATTGCATTGCATGTTATTTTTGTATGGTACTCCTGTATAATACAATGTTTGTGGGATTAATTCCTACACGTTCTTTCTAATTTCTTATGTGTGATCGAAATTTATGCAGGCTAATAAGAGAACTAGAAATAGAGCTTATGAGGTCCTTGTCCAAATTGGCCATGAATATGGAGATCAAGACGGCAGTGGACAGAGAAAACAGCTCTGGGTCGAATATAGCTCAAATTTTTTCGGGTTTTCAGATAATCCGAACATGGTTTTTTATCGATCCGTATTCGATCCGATAATCCGGAAAATATTTTGGATATCTGATCCGAAGTATCCGAAAATTAAAAAAATGGATCCGATATCCGAATTTTTGGATCGGATCAACGGATCGGATCGGTCGGATCGGGTTTTTTTGCACACCCCAAGCAAGTATGTGTTAATTGTAACACTTTACACCGGTGTAAGTATGTGACCTTAACATCTTGTTGCTCTACCATGAAATGACTAATTATCGATAAATTATTAACTACGACTTTCCACCAAAATTAAAAGAGATGTACTGTCATCAACTGACAGAATCACCTATGTTCTATCAACAATTTC